AACATAACCACCAGTGAAACTGCACTTCAAGAGTCCAGGTCAGGTCTTAAGTGCAGTTACAAGGAGACTAACTCTTCACTGGGTTGACAAGTTCAGCTACTAACATACTTTTACAGCTGGGTTTCTCAAGTACTTCTTGCTTACTTTGTCAGCACTAGGAATTAAATTAGAGGGGTGGACTGTGCTATTAAAGAATCCAACGCGTTTAGCAGTTATGAGAGCCCTTGCAGTGAAACTGCATACAGCGCGGATTTTGAAGTTACCACTCGGGTTGATCATGTGCCACAGCTTCTATGTGTTTGAGTCTCTAAATTTCTGACACCTAAATTTCAAGGAGTGTTAGTCTTATCCTATGGGCAGTATTTTTCATACTCAAATGAAAACAGTTCAAATGCTTTTTGGGGAAAGGGGAATGAAATATAGTTAAAAATACACCTTTTTCCTTACCAAACTTCTTTTCTAAATGCAACAATCATAGCTTGGAAGCTGAAGTTTGTGATGGGGACAGTCTTCTCTGGGAAAGTAAGCTCGTTAGGTAGATGCAGTAAGGAAGAGGAAATCTCTGTAGGTATACAGCTTTGCAGTGAGCTAATAACAGATGCAAGTTTATCATTTTGACAAAGAAACCTTCAGTGTGCTTTTTTTTTCCTATGCTGCAGTGGTAGGGAATCTTGTTCCCAGCACAGTGCCACAGGTTGTCTTCTGCTCCAGCTCTCTTGAGGCACAGAACCCAGGTTTCTCCCACCTGCAGCCCTGTGAGCCAGGAGCTGCAGTCTTGCATTAGGTTTATCTGAAGCTCAGCTCTGTGGTTGATAGTGGGGCTGCATCTGGCACTGTGGCTATACTGTGTAAATGGCCATGAGTTGAAAGACAGTACTTCTTCAAGTGTACAGTTTTTCAATTCAGGAGGGCACACCTGTTTGTGAGGATTCTTTAAGCACAGGCGTTACTTTTTGTTCTTTTTTTTTTTTCACTCCATCCCCTCAAAAAAACAACTGACACAAAAAGAACCTCTCTATATAGAGAAAAGACTCTTTGGAGTAGTATCAATTGAAGGACATTCACTTTGAAAAGCAGAAGTGATGTAATGCTCTATCTGCATTATTAAGGTTTATACTTCTGCATTACTAATGAGCTGAGACAGGCCTTTCTGCTGATGTGCCTATACCAGTTCCAGTTTCAAAGTTTGCCTGTTTCTTGTTACATGGTGAGCCTGTACAGCAGAGATCTCCTTCTCTGACTGCTGTGACAAAATCAGTCCATGACTTGGTGTTTTCAGACATAAAAGGCCAGAAAGTAATCTGGACCATACCCTAAGCCATCATTTGGATTCTGAAATTGGAATGAGTTCTCTTGACTGGTGTCTGAGCTTATTTGAAAATTCTCTTAAAATTAATGGGTTTTCTTTTCTTCTTTTCTTTCTTTGGTTCTTGAAAGGGGCTTTCTTAGCATACGTGATTTTTTCCAGTAAGGGCATCCATATTTCACTTTCTGTGAGTAGTTATTTGGGGTACTTTCTTCATCATTGATTTGCAGTTCTAGAAGTGAGAACAATGATATGATCAAGTGCTTTGAAAATGATCAATGATTGATGTTGTAAATTCTATGTAGAAAATGGAAAAGACGCCAATAAATGTTGAACTTGTATTTTTTCCTACCCTTTCCTCTCTTCCCATAACTAATCCACTGCATGTGATTCTCATTAACCTTCTCCAGTTGACATCAGGTATTCAAGAAAAATCAAGCCCTTACAGAGCTTCCTTGCTGCCAAGAAGCAGTTTGCAAAAGGCTAAAATGTTCTGAAATGTTTTCTAGTAACAAATGATTTTTTTTCTTTACTTAATTTTTAGATTGAGTGAATGTGGCCCTTCCAAAAATGGTGAACTAGATCACCACCTCCAGACAGACACAGCAGGGTGAGGTGCCTGTACTTCATGGAATATTGCTGACGTGACTTCAGTCATGTCCAGTCGATAGCTTTGCTCTCACATTTTTCAGGCTGTGCATAAATTTGATGGCAAGCAGAAATCATGGGGAAAAAAAACCAACCATCAAAACATGCTTACCTTTCTGTGATTTGTTTTTGAAGCATTTACTGAGAGCCAACACTTGCCCTCCTATTAACACTTCACTGATGTAGCTCATTTTCATACTCATCATTCCTGTAATTTCAGTTCTAGGGCTTCTCGCAAGCAGAATTTCACCAGCAAGCCAGGTTCCTTGCTTTTCTCAAGGGATTCAGGGCTTTCCTTAAAGACAGGAGAGCTGACTTGTGCTAGCCATCTGGCTAAGAAGCCACCTCCTTTTCAACCTGCTGCTCATATGTACTTGTCTAAGTTATTCATCTTGAGATCGTGAATTTCTTAGATTGTGAACTGAAAGATATGATTAAGATGGCAGTGTTTGGCATTCTGTGTTTGATGGGGCTTTCTGTAGGTTATGCTTTGGGTTTGTCTCCAAACTGTAGCTGAAGCAGCTCTTTGCAGCAATCTGGCTGTGAGTGCTGTATGTAGGATGTTGTGTTAACTCCAGTTTTTTCACTGCAGTTTTTCAAGATGGCAGCTGAAACAGTCTCATGAGGCTCCATTTCCTTTAGTTGGTGGCTCATAGTGTGTGCCAGCTATGCCTGCCTTAAGGAGAGGGAGAGCTACATCTGCAAGCATTGTGCCCTGCTGCTCAGCTCAAATGGCAACACTACATGTTGCCTTCCCTTGTTTTCCTTTTCAATTAGAAGAACGTGCACAGAGCAGGAGGGACTTTGGGGTAATGCTGATCAACAGCTGTCAGGAGAGAAGGGGCTGCACTGTCATGTTTTCGTAGGAGAGGGCAAAATGCTTCCTCATTCTCTATGATAAAAATGGTTATTTTGGACAAAATTTGCTGTGATTAAGTCCAAGCACCAATTTATTCCTATTTAGGTCATCAGAAAAGGGCTTCAGTGTGCAGTCTGTATTCTGGCTCTCTGTACGAGGATACATTTCACCCTCTGCTGAATGCTCTTTGTTTTCTCAGTTGAGGTCAGTTTTTCATTGCATTCATTAAAATAAATAGCTCTGGATTACAAATACCACTGCCCCTGTCCTTCTCAGCTGGCAAGCCAGTATTAGGGTCCTTAAGATTTTAGGAAAGGGGCTAAAATTGAAAGAGGGAGGAGAAGAAAAATGGAAGTTTGGAGGCTGAAGCTGTTAGCGCCCATTTGATGGTTGTGCTCCTGCCTGGTTTGGATGGACTTGCAATTGCTTTGGCTGGATCGCTTCCCCATTCCTCTGTGTGGCTTTCTAGGTGCTGATCAGAAGAGAGAAGGGGTGTTATGTAATGTAAAGATTGTGTAGGGAACAAGGAATGTGTTTCTCAGATGATTCATCTTGCCAGGACACTTTGAGAAAGGTTTCATGCCAGGTTGTGCTGTGCAGGTGTTGTCCTAGGAAAGCTGGGTGTGAAATCTTGTTCCTTTCAGTTCAGTGCTGAAGGTTTCATTCATTGTGCATGAGATTTGGTGATGCTTATTGTGCTCTCCCCTTCAATGCTGCCTGCTTCAATATAGCTCATTTTGGCAGAGTTAAGACTAACAGTAACTGAGCTCATTTGTGTTTGTAGGATACACGTATGTATGAGCATGTTTGCACGGTGGCATATCACACGATAGAGCATGTTTCTTGCTAACATTTATGGGGAAGGAATGTGGAGGATTATATAACACCGAAGCCTGAAGAGCTGTTTTGTGTTTATGTTAAGTTTTGTTTTGGTTTGCTTTTTGTTTTACTCATGGGGATCAAAAATAAAACTTTGGTGAGGAGTTGCCCCCAGACTGTGGGACATTTGAAATCAGTGTTAGATTTGTGTCCAGAATTTATTCACAGCTCGCTCTCAATATGCAACAGTGAGGAAAATCGCTTTGACATTGAATGGGGCAAATTAGGAAAGTTCTGCTGTCATCTTTTTAAAATAAAATTTGAGCAAGTTTTGATTTGTTTCTTTAATGACTTGGTACGTTGCGTGTGTCTGTATATACAGCTATATGGTTTGTTATTATGAGGTCAAATCCTGACAACGTACTGCAAAATAGTTTTAATTTATTATTAATATTTTCTGTTATTCTCACTTCTCCTGGTTTTGGAACCTTTATAATTAGATATAATTAAAACCACAGGTTTATAATTCCACTCTAGCATTTAAACTTGTATTTATGGCATAACCCCCGGAGTTTTATTGTCATTCCAACTGTATTTTGAAAAAAAAAAAAAAAGGAAAAAAATGTTTTCTGCGTTTATACAAATGCTTTGTCTGTAACTACCACTTCTTAATAATTTGTTTTGCACGGTAAAATGACATTTTGTTTTACATGATACAAAGCCTTACAGGTTTGAGAGTAGCTATTTCATATCCCTTAACAAATGAGTGCAAGGGACCTTTTGCCTCGTGCACTTTAAAAACAGCTTTCCTCTTTTGGAACTTGTCTTTCTGCTCCTCCATACAACAGTCTGAAGTGCTACATGCCGGAGAGCTGATTTTTAAAAAATGTTGGCTGGCATTATGTAAAGCCACATTTTCCCTTTTGGTGCGTATGTTCTGGTCCTAGCAGTGTCCTTGTTTTACAGAAATTAACATTTTTCCCTTCACAATCATTGATATGTGGTGATGTTTTTCTGTCATCTTTAATTGTGATGCTTTTTTCTTTTCCTTTTTACATTAGTATAAGGTTGATTGTTAAAATTAAGTGGCAGAAGGCTTCTTTCCAACTTACTCAAATATATTTTTTTGACTGTAGAAATATATTTTGCTGCTCTCAATTGCCTTTTTCCCCTTCTTCTTTTATTGTAAAATACTCTGGGAAGAGCTTCTTTTAACAAAAAAAAAAAGAAAAAGAAAAAAAAAAAAAAAGGCTACGCTTGACTGATAATGCATTGCTTTGGATGGTGAAACATTATGAAAGTTTAATTTTTAATTAAATCTGAAATACCAATTATAACTGAAAGAGATTTTAACCTGTTTCTTTTCAGACTGCCTGAAGTTACATTGTAGATGCTGAAATCACTGCACCTTAAAAACAAAAAGATTAAGCTGCACTGCATTCTTGTAAGTAAAAGCTTTTCCGGTACCTTTTGTCAGTATTTTTCCTCAATATACATCCGAAGTGTTAGCACAGTAACTGCTCTTGGATAAAGGTCAAATTCCCCCTGAATAGGATTTAGAAGTTCAAAGGATGTTTTATTTGAAAATTAGAACTAAACTTGAATCTTTCAGATCTTTAATTTCAGACCCCTGAATAGATCTTTCTTTTTTGCTTTGATTGTTATTAGGAAGAGTGTGTGTCTGTTGACATACGGTTCCTACGGCTTTGTCAGTGAGGATTTCTGCACTTTGGAGTATAGAAAATAGAAAATAGTAGAATTTCCCCATAGCATAAAATATAGTTTATTCTCTTTTTTTGTTGTCGTAATAATTTTTTGTCCCTTATATAAGAAAAAGATGGAACATCTTTCTCACGACATCACAGGAGGCTTCAGCTGCTTTAGGATATAGACGAAGGCAAAGATGCCTTATTCATCTGTGCTGCAATATAACAAAGCAGTCAAAATTATGTCTTGTGTCTCTCAGTAAGAAAGAAGCCTCTTTCAAGGGCACAGTTATTCCATAAATGCAGGGCAGATTGTACATCTACCCTTATTTAGAATGTGTTTACTGAATATGTTTGGGTAAATAATTAAGATTTGGAACTCCTGCGGATGGAGAACAAGCAAGTAAAAGAGGACTGGGAAATGCTGTAGATTCAGCTACTCTGAATTTACCAAAATAATGTATGAGTAAAAATCCAAGAGTTTGAAGATAGTAAGAAAGAGTTGATTTTTCAGTTCGACACTGCAAAGCTGTGGAGTATGACAAAGCAAAGTCAGTTTGTTTTCTTCTCTGAGATCAAAATGTACAGTCTGTAATGAAATCCAGCGTCTTTTCCCAAAGTAATACTTCTGTACTTCAATATTGAAATATTTTAACTATTCCATGGTTGTTTTTTTTTTTAACTCTCTGTTCCCCAACTTTTTTTTTTTTCCTTCAAGTTGTATTTTAATGATTTAGTTTAAACTAGCTGAAGGGTACAGTACACTGTAGGCAGCTAATGCATGCCCCTTCTAGTGTGGAACACCAAGCATGACTCAGGCAGGCAGATTGTGCCATTCTGACTTGAATCCATTGTGTTTTTACATTACTGGCAAGAGCCATGCCATTGTGTTGCTTAAATATTGTGCATTAACTGCAGGCTGTGGCTAGTAAATCGTATTTAACATTTTCTCCTCATCATGGCATATCCAGCTTCCCTGGCCACGAGAAGTTAACCTTGAGATTTAAGTGGAATCTGAACTGAGAACATTGGTGGATTTGTTGGGTCCAGCAACAATTTAAAGGGAGGTATTATAGAGCAAGGGGGAAAGTTAGAGGATATTTGTGAATCTGGGAGTACTGAATATCAAAGTTGTCTTTCTATTTTCTGTGAATAACCAAGAGAAATTTTTTTGGAAACCAATAGTAATTCTCTTTCCAAAATGTAACAGCAGAGTGAGGACTGAATTAAAGCATGTTGTTTGAATCCTTAGAATTCAAATAGTCTGTAAGTCCTGCATGGAAAGCCCTAATGCAAAATACCGGGTAGTGATATATGGACCTCATAGATGATGCTGGAATGGGCTTTTTTAGTTAGGGAAGAGATGGGAATCTAGGAGCAGGAATAAATACACAAGTGCAGAACTCACAAGCAGGGGAAAAAAAAAAAATTAACATGTGTAGGGTGGCAAGCAAGTCAGGGCAGAAATACTGTACAGCTTGGCCCAGATCAGAGTAAATCAAGGGCTGAACTAGAAATGGAGCAGGGGATCACGACTGTAGCTCTTTTCTGTTCGGTTCTTCTTTACATTCCCTGAGGTAGAGATCCAAGCATCTAATCTTTGAATTTCTTGTTTCATTTGTTTTATTTCCCCAATAATACCCCATCTGTAAACTCCTAGCTGCTCTTAAATTGTGTAGCTTTGTCATACAGCCTGTAATAGAGACAAACAAGTTGGGGAAACTTTCTATGCGTGCAGATGTATGCTGTAAAATGAGACTGTGATTATTACTATACCTTCTGTTCATGTAACTATAGGGGCACCGTTCTTGTAGACAGTAATATGCTTTAAGAATTTATTTTCTTTCAGATATATGTTTACTGTTATCAGGTGTCTCTAATTCTGAGACCTTTAATGAAGTAAACTTTCAAGTATGACTTTCCTGTGTTAACCTGAAAACAGTAAAAAAAAAAAAAAAAAAAAAAAAAAAAAAAGGCAAGCCATGCTTAGCTAGTTTTCTATTAGAGAACAGGATTGTTTTAATTGAAGGGTGGAACCTTGTTTTAGGTAGGAATATCCTTAAAATAAGTCACTAGTAGAAAAAGGGGCCAAATTTTCAGCTGTTATAAAATGACTCAAATGGCACTACAGGAAAATACAGATTCACAACACGTGAACATCTGGCGGGCAGCTGCACAAGAACACAGCCTTGTAAATGTAGTGCAGGCATTCTCTTAATGGGAAAGGTCTGTGGGCTTGATTCTTTTTATGTTGGGTGGTCAGATCAGCTATGTACTAAAATTATGTGGATTAATAGGCAACTAGATCCACTGAGAGCCACGGGTCTACTCAAATACTTAACTTTTAAGATGTGCTTAAGTACTTCACTATTTGCAATTAACCCAAAATAGGATTAAGTCCAGTAAGAAGAGTTAGTTACCTCTGCTGACATTCAACATGTGTTTGATTTTAGAACTGGACAGTGGGGAAAGCATGTTGTCTGTAGAAGAAAATAAATTATGTGCTCACAATCTGAAGACTTATACAAGAGATGCACTGGATGTGCTTTAAAAGTAAATGGTTTTAGTTACAGCTGTCTGATTTTAGGTGTCATTGGCTGAGGCCAACAGGAACATACAACACATTTAAAAAAAAAAAAAAAAAAAAAAAAAAAACCAAACGAGAGGGTTTTTTTCAGTTTCAATCTTACATGGCTTTGTGGTCTGTTTAATGACCAAGAGGTCTGGAGTTTGAATTTTGCTGGATGGTGGCTCATTGAGTGGCTCTGGACAGATCATTTAACCTCTCTGCACCTTGTTTAGCAGATCAGTTTTTCAATCTGGTTATGACTTCAGTACTGATACAGCTCTGTGAACATTATTGAGTTTGTTTTTGCAGAGCTCTTAGAGGAGAAATAGTAACCATTGTTATCATTAATAAGTGTATTGTGTAGACAAAACATGAGGGACAGAGATACAGTCACTCACAGAGGTGATCTTTCACAACTCACTTGTGCCTTTGTTTAATTCCATCACTCAAAGTTATCAAGGCCAACTCCAATTTATAGAAGTATTTCTCATGTCACTCTTCCCACTGTTGAGTATTTTATTGTTTGTGTGTTCTCTCTCCATCTGTTTTTTTGCTTCATGCTGAATTAACCTTGCATACCAAACCTTATTCCCCCCTTTTTTTTGTATTATGCAGCAGAGACATTCACATAGCCTCAAAATTACAGAGAACAAATTCATTTTGTCTACTGATTGTTTGCTGATGATGTATGAAACAGACAGAAGACAGTTTGAATTTTCATAAGTTCAATTGAGCTTGCAGGCTTAAGGAAGGGAACAGGCAGAACCCAAGCCAATGTGACACAGTAAGCTGGCATCCCAGAGTATATGCAGCATGTATAGCGTCAGGATGTCAAGGCTATACAGGACTTCATCCATCAAAGCAGTGCTTTTAAATGAAGGAAGAATTTTGAAGCAACAAACAAGCTACCCCCCTGTGTTCTTCATAACACAGGAGTCCTCGTGTTTTCTGATGGATACGGGATCTTTCCTTTCCCTCCTATACCTTGCAGTTTTAACTGGAATTGTGTGTCTAATGTTAGTGTTGTTGAGCCTTGTACATTCGTGGTTGCTATTCCTTGGGCAAAATTTGAACCCTGAATAGCTCACTAAGACCTTTTTGGATGCAGAAAGAGTAGCTGCGCTGGAGAAGATGTCTGAATGCGAAATAAATATATAAGTATGCTTCTTTGAAGAAAGATAAGTGTCTTGGGGCTGGCTGTCACTGAGGAATTGTGTTAGCACTAACAAAGAGAATTAATTTTGCCTTTTCTCCCCTCTTATACCAAGGCATTAATCCAGAAACTCATGGGGATAAATTCTGTCCTGATTTTTACCTGTGGAACCCCAATGGAAACAGAGAGAGGTCATAAATGTTTGTCAAAGCAAAAATTGTCCTAGTGTTAAAGTTGTTGAGAAAGTAGAAACTGGTTGATTGTTACCTGGTTTAGGGGCATGAGGGTACGTAGAAGCCCTACATGGCATCTTATGCTTCCAAAAATGTTGTTTTTATTGTATACATTATGCAGGGGAAAAAAAAAATCTAGTGAGTAAAAAGTTATAACCAGTAGCACAGTGATTAATTGTTCTTCATGTCCTCTGGGAGAAAAGACCTGAAGAAATCAGTTCAGTGAGCAGTGAAAATTACCAAGGTACATATTAAGAACCATGTTCTGCCTGTGTAGGCAGTAAAACTGTGGAATACCCTACCTCTAGGTACTGTGGAAACTGGGGAAGTTTATTTTTTTTTTTTGAAGAATGGCTTGGAAAACCACCTCAAGAGTAGGCTGAGGTGGACTGGAGTAGGTGAGGATAAGATTGGACTAGATGAGTTTTGTTTTATTCCCTTGCATTTCTCTAATTCAGCATACCATTTGGAAATGTTGGTATGTGGCGAGTACGTTCCTGATTAATAAAACTTAATGTTTGCAAAAATCCCCAGGGTTCTCATTTTTCCATCCTCTCACAACTAAAACCATACTGTCTCTTCAAAGATTTCAGTTGGACTGCCAGCATTTTGTTTTGACCCTTCTTTTTTTAGAGAAAAGACAGGGGAGGGAGTCATACACGCACCAAGGGACAGATGTTTGGTTGCTGTGCATCTGTATGGTTTCTTGACAGCCACTGTACTAATCCTGATTAGATTCAGTTCCTGTTTTTGAAAAATTGGATGAATGGAAACAGTCCAGGT